AGATGACTGGAGACGCCGCATATCATTATATAAGAGGAATACCACAGTGGAACCAAAGCCCCATCAATATTAAGCAACTGTGATTCCATTTATCAATTTCAATTCAATTCCTGCCATGGAGGATTTCGAGAGCAGATCATTTCTAAAACCGATCCATGTGTATATCAGCTATCGAGGCGGCGACGATACACGTAGATTCATCCAAGCCTTTCTGATGCTCTTAGAGCACAAGGTTTGAGAATCAAGGGAGATGACAAGAGTCATGAAATACCAGATATGGCTTTTCCGGACAAGCTTCTCCGAGCAAATGAGAGAATCCTGGATTTTGATCTTGGTCCTCTCCAAAGCTATGTTTTTCTTCATCTTGGTGTTTAGAGGAGCTGTCGCAGGTTGTTGGTCCACTCTTTCTTAAGGAAGCCAAAATGGACATATTTGAATGGATCTGGATTCATGCCTGACCGAGTAGAAAGGTACGATGAAGACCTGGACAAGCTGATAAAAAGATGGTGGCAACATATGAAACAACCGGCCGATCTCTGTGGACGCAGCAATAATGCAGATAGGATAATTCCAGTTTTTTACGATGTAGATTCAAAATCCTTTGCTCAACACATGCAAGAGAGCTTCCCGGGAAATTTATTCGAGGAAGCTATGCAAAAAGTGACCAATCTTTCCGGCTGGGATCTACAGGATGAGTAAGTAATTCTATTTTTTAAATTTTTTGCTTTATAATATTTTACATAATTAAGGTAAGAAAGATTTGAACTTAATCTTACTTTACTCTTGATTTTTTTCACTTATACATGTTTTCAATGGGGGAAACTACTGCACATATTTTTGTTTCAGCAGCCATTGATATCCTTCTGAATTAAAAAGCATCAGTTTGATTAATTAGTACCACGTACTGGAAATCACGCCTACTTTGATTTTTATTGAATTATATGATTATTTTGAATTACAATACCTTATCTCTTACTTTTAGATAATTTGAATTCAAGAATTATTGCTCCCAAATATGAGACGTTTCCTTTTTTAAAAGAAAAAATGATCCCCAGTACAAACTATATCTCTAATAGTAAAGCTATGATAAGCCCATTGAATTTTTCATAAGGCTCTCTCCTTTGCCGCTTGTCGCGGCATAGTTGTCATTAAGAAAAAAATGTGAATATATTGAGTTCCCATAATTTTATTTAATTATTATACAAATTCCATTTCAAAATTTGCAGAAATTTTTCATTTAAAATAAAAGTAAATTACACAGATCTACCCTAGTTTTATCTAAAATTACACATACATTCCTTTTATTTTCGATGCAAGTTCTATGCTTTGAAAATTATAGAGAGGCAGAAACATATATTTTTAAATAACATTTTATAGAGGTTCCTATATATTATTTAATATTTTATTTTACATCTGGTTTTAAAGGGAAGGTACATATAATTTTAGTAAATTCAGGCGAGACTTGTATTAGTTGTGAAGCTAGAGAATAAAGAAACTTGGATAAACAAAATTTTAAGAGGGATCCATTTGACTTATTTTATGCATATGTTGTGTGTGTGTGTGGAACTATGTATTCACTCTTAACGAGAAAAAGTATTTTTAATTTTAATTCTTATTCACGCCTGCGTTTGGTTTCTAGCCTTTGCTCCAAATAGAGCGTAGTATTACTGTCCTCCGTTGGGAAATTTGAACACTCATGGTTAGGTAGAGTAGATTTTATATCTCTTTATTATTTGTAATTCTATCACTGTTTTTAGTTTATAATTAGAATTTGTCTTTTATATGAAAAGTTTAGATATTTAAAATATATTATTCAACATGATAGAAAAATTGAAGAAATATTGCACATGGGATACAAATTTGATGGATTATTTAGAGAGAGGCTAAATGAGTTATTTGTAATTAAAATGTACCTAATAACTGAAAGAGAAGTTTTATTAAATTGCTATAAAATCATAGTAATGAATGTTAGACTTTAAAATGATAATAAAAGTATAAAGTTAGAATAGCAGAAATGAAAATGCTCAGATAAATATGTGGCATACATAAAAAGGAAAAATTTGAATAAGTATATGCAAGAAAAAGAGATGCAGCATCTATTGAGGAGAAAAGAAAATCATTTCAATGATTTGGACATGCATAAGAAGGCCATGAGAGCATTGGTAAGGAAAGTGGAATGGATATCCTTAAGTCTTATAAAAAATGGTAGAAGAAGACTCAAAAAAACACTTAAGAAAATTGTTGAACGAGACCTCTTAGTTAAAAGTATTTCTAAAAGCTTGGTTGATGATAAAGTACAATGGTATCATACAATTTATATAATTGATCTCACCTACTGGATAAAGCTTCTTCTTGTATATGATTGTTCGGCCTAAAATTATGATTGGGCCTGAGACAGATATTGGACTTACAAGTTAGAGTAGATACATGAGTCCAAAATGCTAAGGCCTGATAGGCAGCATGGATCAACGACGCTTAAGTAAAATGATGTGTTGCCTCTGTAACTTTCAAGGAAACTACAAGCCCACATTCCAATTTAGCAGGGCATATTGTGAAATTGTGAAATAGTAAAAAGGAGCAACCAACCAAACTAAAAACTCAAGACAACTAACTTACTCCTAAAATACCTGCATTATTCTAACATAGATTCCTTAGCCTGACCTAGGTTTAGCCCCTAGCCATTATATTTTTTACACTTTAGGTTAATATAGCTTTATTCTCTCGCCTTAGTTCTTTTAATGCAACTCAATTTCTCAGTCAATTAAGCCTCACTCGTTGGTTTAGTCTTGATAATCCGAGAGAATTGAGGTAAAGGATATTAGGATCCATAACATCTTGATTGATGACTCACTCCTCTGGTATGTCCATTGCATAAAGGTGCTGCTCTCCCAATTCATGCTAAAAATCTTTTCTGGCTACTTGGTGAGACCCTATTGTCAAAACCATGCAACAAACTCAATCAAATACTAATAACGAGAAGCATGATGCTGGATCTTAGAGTCTTGAATATAGTGTAGCAGGCGTAAACATGAGTCGACTCCATCACGATCAAGAGATGAGAGGGAGGAAGTATTCCCACTCATAAAATCACTATCCATACATGTCGATCCCATTAGAGAAGTGGTTCAAGAGTTTTATGGACCTGATTGTAGCCGTCCCTATTTAGAGTACATCAATTGAGAATATTTGTTCCCTATGGTTTTTGTGTCCCAGAGTTTACATTGTTCTCTAAAGGTGAAGGTTTATCTACCTTAGAGCACATAGCCCAGGTTCACATTCCAATGTGGAAGCTAGGCCGCATGGACAATATGAAGTTAAGAGTCTTTCCCAACTCACTAATGGGAAGAGCATTCATTTAGCATGCAAGACTTCTTAAGAACTCCATCATGAGTTGGATTAAAATGGAGAACAAGTTTCATGACCAGTTCTATATGATTGACCTACAGCCATCAAGATGAAGTCGAGAAACCTTACCTTAAAAGCTGCAAGACTTTAGGATGCCATTACAAGTTTTAGTTTGATGATAGAAGTTCAATAAATCTTCAAAGTAAGAGGAAACAGTGAAATAATCATGAGTGAATGGACCAAATTTAGACCAAAGAGGAAGTAAGCGAAGAGTCAGACCTGTACAGATATTTGAATGTGGTGTAATTCTCTAAAAATGTGCACACGTTTTTAACCATTGATGAGCTAAGAACGACCGGATGGCATTCAATGAAAGAGGTTTAGAGCATGCAACTAGAGTTGATAATTCAGGTAGACCAAGCTTATTTTGAGTCGGGCTCAATTCGGACCACTTATTTGGATGGGACTTAAATATCTTACCCTCTTAAAAAAGCTCATATAACCAAGCCCGACCTTAACTTTTTTTGGAAGGATCCAGGCTGGCCTGTCGAGCTTAGCCAAAATTACAAACTTAACATACTTATAGAGTCAAAAAAAATCAACTGTTAAGCTCAATTTGGGCCGTATTATTCGAATCAGGCTTAAAGCATCCTATCCTCTTTAAAAGGTTCATATAACCAAGCTTGACTCTAACTTTTTTTGAGTAATTCGAGCTAGCTCGAATTACCAGCTTTACATGCAACCCTTAGTCAATGAAGAGTTACCACACACTCGAGAAATTGTTTGGTCTAAAATTATGATTGGACCTGATACGGATATTAGCCTTGCAAGGTGGAGCAAGTACATGAGTCCAGAATGCTAAAGCCGAATGGGTAGCATGGAGCAGCGAAGCTTAAGTAAAACAATGTGCTGCCTCCGTTAACTTAAAAGAGAAGTCACGAGCCCACGTTCTCAATTTTAGCAAAGCATCATGCAAACTAGTAAAAGGGAATAACCTCCTCATGCGATGGCATAAACGATTACAAATTCAAAATGGGCATAGCTAATCTCCCTCTTATAAAATGGGGGAAGATGGGTAGAAAGGGGCATCCAAAATACCTGTACTACTATAACATAGATTCCTTAGCCTAACCAAGGTTTAGCTCTAGCCATCAGATCACATAATTTTTCTGTTAACATGGCTTTTTACTCACCCTAGTTTCTCTAATACAATTTGGTTTCCCGGTGAAGAACTTGGTCTCAATAATCCAATAATTGAGGTAAAGGATCTTGAGATCCGCATTACTTAGATTAAGGACTCACTTCTCTAGCATGCCCCATACATGTTGAGGTGCCACTTTCATTTCACGCAAACAATGACATATGTGTGATGTATATCCTTCTCTTTTATGACAAATAATTTATTTTTCTGTGTGTACACACACACACACACACACACACACTGGATTGTAAGTTGAGTTTAGATCGATGTTCAAGATATATTACTGTAATACAACTACAACCAATGTTAACAAAGATAATTTTTTTTTTATCATGCCTAGGAGGGAAAAAATTTGATGATTGGGTGTTTTTGGTTCATCTTTTTTGCAGATCAAGATCACAAGTTATTCCGAAGATTGTCAAAGAAGTCAAGTCAAAAATAGATAAACTATTTTATGGCTTTTTCAGATTGTTGGGATGAAATCTCGAGTGGAAGAAGTAGAACAGATTTTGGATTTGAGCTCAGACGATGAAGTTCAAGGTATAGGCATTTGTGGTATGGGCGGATCAGGGAAGTCATCCATTGCTTTAGTTCTATATCTTAAGATCCTTCACTTTTTTGATTCTTTTTGTTTCCTTCCTAATGTGAGTAGACGTTTGAAGCATGGTGACTTATCTTTGCAAGAACTCATTCATAGAAACTTGGAGACAGCAGATTTTTGTCTTATGTATCCTCAAGGCGAAGAGTTCTTGAAAAGATTAAGAAAACACAAGGTTCTCATAGTTCTTGATGGTGTAGATCATGTGCAAGATATTGAGGAATTGAACTTGATTGCAAAATCTATTTGTTTTGGCAGAGGGAGTAGAATCATAATAACAACAAGAGATGTACAAGTCCTTGAAATGTCTGGAGTTGAGAAAATTTATAGACCTAAATTGTTGTCTAAGAAGGAAGGTTCTATAATATTCCGTTCTATAGCTTTTCCAAAGGATTATCCTGTTAATGATTTTCAAGAGATGATAGACAAGGTATTGAAATATGCTAATGGGCTTCCACTAGCAATTGAAATATTGGGTTCATTCTTTTTTGGAAAAAGCGTGGCAGAATGGAGAAGTTTCTTGGATAGAGAAGAAATTATTCCTCCCCATGAGATCATAATAGTCCTTAGAAAAAGTTTTGATGAACTTGATCATAGGAGTAAGGAAATCTTTTTGGACATAGCATGTTTTTTTGCAGGAAAGAATGTTAATTGTGTGAAGGAAATTTTACATGATTCTGGTTTCCTGCCGATATAGGAATCAAACTTCTTATTCAAAAATCACTTATTACAATTGCAAATCAAGGAATACAAATGCATGGAATGTCACAAGCAATGGGCGAGAAATTGTTAGACAAGAATGTCCAAATCAGCCAGAAAAACGCCGTCGGTTGTACCTTTTCAATGATATCAAATATGTTATGGAGAAAGAAAGAAACATGGTAAGTTTTTTGTTACCCCTTTTTAGTAAAGCATGTTACAATTTGAAAAGTTAGAGAATAATCTAACATTTCATTTTTTTCCGTTCATAAATGCATTTAATCCTATAGGTGATAAAAAATGTTGAAGCTATAGTCTTGGATTTGGAAGAGCCAAAAGGGGTTACATTGAGGATCGAAGCTTTATCACAGATGATCAACCTCAGATTGCTCATATTTCGTAATGTGCATTTTTCTGGAACCCTCGATAATCTTTCGAGCAAGTTACAACATGTTTCATGGCATCAATATCCATTCACTTCTTTGCCATCGAGTTTTCAGTCTGATACACTTGTTCAATTGATTATGCCTGATAGCAACGTCACAGAAGTGTGGAAGGGCAAAATGGTGATGTTAAAGTTCTTTTATTTCTTCAATATTCAAATCATGCATGCTTGATATAGATCATATACCATCACCTATATATTCATAACTAATTATTTCCACTATCAAAATTTTGCTCAATGACAGATGCCTTAAGTTAAGAAAAATGAATCTTTGTGGCTCCAAAACTTTGATCAAGACGCCAGATTTTGGAGGAGTTCCAAATCTTGAGAGACTTGACCTTGAAGGTTGTACTGGATTATTGGAATTGGATCCATCTATTGCCGAACTTTCAAAGCTCAAGTTCTTGAATTTGAGAATTGCATCAATCTTATTAGTATTCCCAATCGCTTATTTGCTCTATACTCATTGGAAATTCTAAATCTAGCTGGCTGTTCAGAATTTGCACATTGCTTGAATTTTTCTCCTTTGAAGAGCTTGACAGAAGTGAAACTGCTTAGCATTTGGTCTAATCCATTCTTAGAGAGCATTCTGTATTTTCTTTTGTATGTTTTAACAAAAAAATTGTGGTGAGTTTGTTCGTTGCTGTCTAATTTACTTGATATGTATTTGTGAGGTCAATTATGCATAAAGCTCAAGTCATGAATCCTGAGATTGGAGCTCTGTGTATTTGGTACATTTGGGAATGATATGGTTGTCACTTATCAGTTATCCCTGATTTTCCAATCTGATCACCATAGCCTGAAGGGAAAGATTGAAGGTTGAACTGTATTATTGCGACTTCTTAAATTATATATGCCAGCATATTTGCTTAATTAATGATATATAGTTTCACATTAGTCTCAAATTGAGAATTCAACTCTGCTTGATATGAAATGGTTCATGCTAGTGGTAGCTCGTTGATTTTCTTCAACACAAAAATGAGGTTGTTATCTATCTTCACCCGAGGAAAATTCGCATGTCTAATACTAAATTCGCAATAGAATTCTTATTGAAAAGAACAAAAAAATAATTGAGTCTTAATATTATCTAGAATATATATTCTCAAATAACTCAAGTCAGATCAAAACATGAATGTAGTAAAAACTTTGCAACCTTGATGCAACATAATAACAGCAAGTCATCAAATCCTTGAAAAGATTGAAAGGCTGATGCTACTTCTTACACGCACGCCTGAGTTGTTGACTGAGAATGAAGCTTTTCAACTATTTTGTTCTGAATCTTTAATTTTCATACAAGATTGAAGTGATAATTATTTATGGCTATCAGCTTCATGAAAATTGTGAAACTTTGTACTAACCAAATATATAAGAACTCATACAAGTCTTAAACAACAGTGTTCATCAACCACCCATGCACACTTGCAAATATAAACTCTAGCAACTAATTAATAATAATATCACTACAAATAATATAAATATGTCTTCTACATTAAACTTCATTACTTTAACAGCTTAATTCACACCCTATCTGCTTCTACAAATGAATCAGCATTCTGAGAAGGATACCCTACACTGTCATAAACAAGAGCAGCAACAGCAGCACCAATTAATGGTCCAACCCAATACACTGCTTGGTTCTTGAAGGTGCCGGCTATGACGGCCGACCCAAAGGCGCAAGCTGGATTCATCGACCCACCGGAGAAGGGACCGGCAGCTAGGACATCAGCTCCGGCCATCATGCCGATGGCTAGGGCACCTGTTGACCCCAGTTGACCACTACGCCTAGGGTCCCTAGCAGCATACACAGTGTAGACTAATGCAAATGTAAGAACTCCTTCCACTATGGATGCCCCAAAACCTGTCATTTGTGGTGCTATTGCGTATGTTGGGACGTGCTGTACAAATTAAACCAGACATGTTGTAAAAATAAAGGAAAGTTATATATAATTAAAATAAAAAATAAATTACAGAGACTTTTCCTCAATCTTAAATTCTTAACTGAATTTACATGAACTTAATGTATAATTAAACTAAAATAAAAAATAAATTACAGAGACTTTTCCTCAATCTTAAATTCTTAACTGAAATTACATGAACTTCTCTATTCCTAGAGATTGCACGAATCTTTTTCCTCAAACAATATTAAATTAGGTAAATCACCCTTACATTTATTGAAATTAAACTTAAACATTATCTGCTTTTCAAATGATATATATATATATATATATATAAATTGTCCCGGAATTTTATTCTGATTCATACCAACCTTCATTTTGTTTTCAATGAATTTCTAAACACACACAGACATGCCCTTTTATTTTAAAAAATCACATACGCCAGCCCTAAATTATAAGATGATTTATACAAGGTCTCATTGAATTTTACTAATATAATACAAACCTACCCTAAAAAAAATGTGCAATTTAAAAGGAAAGTAAAAACTGGAAAAATTACTTTTTTGGAAAATCTTGTCTAAATTTTAAATAAAAAGAAAACTTATGTGCATGATTCAAGCAAAATCAAGAGAGAGAAAACCAGTGTTATATACTCTATGCACATATAAGTAACATTCTCAACTGGGAAGAGAATAAAAGCAAGACCAATACAACAATGTTTGTTTGATAAAAAAAAATTAATAAAGGATTTTTTTAGAAAATACTTTTCTGTGTATCAATACAATACAATACCATTCCAACAAGAGTGATCTTGAGGAGAAGGCAGGCCATGACAGAAGCAATCATCTGAGAAATCCAATAGAAGAGAGCTGTTGATACGTTCATATGGCCTCCAACAACCCTTGCAAAGGTCACTGCAGGGTTCACATGTCCTCCTGAAACGTCCCAAGCCATAAACAGTACTGAAGATAAAGCCAAGCTATTGGCTATGGCTGCAACCACCAGACTCGCTGCCTCCATTGTTGCTTCACCCTTCAACTTCCCTGAATGCATCATCATTAGACATACAATAAATATATAACACACACACACACACACTTATATATATTATCAGGTCAGTGAGTGATTCATATATATGTTGATGACCAAATCACTATAAGATTTGATGAGTTTGTCATTAGTCAAAAGTCATCAACTTGATTTTTGAGTTCTCTTGATTAATTTTTCTCACTCTTAATTACTTGACTATGTAAATTGGTGGGATCGGTCCAACCAATTATTTCACCTATCACTTGAAGAAGATGATCATAGCATGCAATATTTAAAGTAATCTGAACGTTTTAAATGATAAATAGCCTCAAAGAAAGAATAATTACTTCATCTATCATTTTACTTAATTTTTTTCTTATTAGGAACATAAATGCACGGATCATGATATGCCACAGTTAGTTAATAAATAATGGTAAATAATATACAGTTTTAATCTAGAAACATATGAGAATAAATTAAAACAGAAAGTAGTTGAAAAGACCAAAAAAAGAACTAAATATCCCACACAAACTCTTCTGCGCTACTTTTCTTCAACATATAATGCAACATTTATATTACTATGTATACAAGATCTAGCTAATAGGAACAAGAGATTTATTATTATTCACCAGAAAGAAAGAAACTAAGAGATTTATATATTCTTTGGATGATTTAAAATTCTAAAGTCAAAACACCAAAAATGACACCATATATAATAATGCAAGAATATACTCTTCACGGCTGGTTTTCCAGAGAATTTTTTCTATCATATTAAGGAATCTGCATTTTTTGTGTGGCAGTCATCTATATAAAATAACTTTAAGTAAGATGCTTATATCACGACAGAGTCACACACAGGAGCAAAATCTGAAGTATCACGTGAAATCAAGACGAGACAAGAAAGAAAAGAAACAAAAACTCACTGGAAGACATGCCGGAGCCAATGACGGTGAAGACATAGAAGAAAGTGGAGATGAACTCAGCAAGGTAGGCTCGAAGTGCAGTTCTGGTAAGAGATTCTTGAAAACGAGATGAGAAAGCCATGGTTTTTGTTGTTCTTGTTATTGTTGGAATTCAATTCAAGTCTCAGAAAAAGCCTTGTTCTTTGACTACAGTGATGAAGGAACAACGATGATAACGTTCATTCACTTGTTCATTAATTGATTAGTCGATGAATAAGGAAGCAGTTTTCAACATATATATGGTTTTGAATTCTGGAATTTCAAACAAAACTAGCCGCAACTGCCAAGCGACGTGTCCTTTTTCCTGAGGGGTGGTTTCTATTTCGTGCAATTAACTACCGTTAACTAACACAGTAAGTATGGATTGGTTTCTCATTTTGAATTTTTTAAGACAAAATTGTAATGTAACTGTAACAATGATTAGACGTTAACGTAACTGTATGTGCGGATTAATTTACTTGTTGCTGTATGAAAAATAGGTATTTCAAACAGAATAATGAGTTGTCTGAAATTTATATTTTTTTAATCATGTAACAATTTCTTTTTACTAGAGACAATCTTATTTAAGATTATCAAATATTAAAATTTCTATTGATAATGATGATTTTCTAGTAAGAATTTTCATCAAAAGGATAGTATGTCAAGGCTGTTTGTTTGTGTTATTTCAAGTTAGTAATTATTAAATTTTAATATTTAAAATTAAAAGAATTAAGGTGTATTTTTGCCCCTAAACTACTCTCCAAGGAACACCCGGTGTCCTAAATATTTTTCGTAACAATTTCACTCCTAATAAGATAATCACAAACAAATTAAAATTTAGATAATCACAAACAAAAAATCATTGATAATAAGCTTTAGGTGAAATTTAGATAATGTTTTACTTCATGAAACTGAACCAGTTCCATTAAAAAAAAATAACTAGTGAAATTAAGTGCTCTAGAATTACTTCTATTTCGCAAGAAAGTAAGAATCGATCGTGTCCTCCTCAAATTGTTGTCGTTTGCTATGGAATGTTTAAAAGAATTTTCTAATTACAGTTTTAAGCACTCTTCCCTGCTCTGTTTCAATCATGAAATAATATGTTTAAAAGGGTCTACGTTAGGTAAAACATCAATAATTCCTAAGTTTTGCTTTGTCTTTGCAGGACTGGATGTGGGAGGGGAAAACAAGAGTGGGCAATAGAGCAACAAGAAGGCTTCCTTGGGAGAGAATTTTTGCACAAACTTGCAGGATGTTGTGGAAGAATAGATGTAGCAAAGTTTTTGGCACGAAGCACCATAAAAAAAAAAAAAAAAAGATATAGCATTCTTGGTAACTTAGGTCGTGAGTGAAGATATCAACCTTGAAGGTTTCAAAGATAGAATTGATAGAACTACGGATAAAAAAAAATTGGAGATTTCCAGGTATATGTTGGGTTAAACTTGACGTCGGTGGATCATTTAATTAAGATGGTGAAGCAGCTTGCAGCAGACTCATTCGATATGAAAATGGTAATTACTTGTAGCAGGCTCATTCCATGGCAATAGGAGAGGTGGATTCATGGCAGAGGTGGATTACTTTCCTTCCACTATGAAAAAATGATGAGCATCAAGGAAGGATTAAAATTTTATTTAATTACTAGAAATGAACAAAATGGATCAAAAAAATAAAAATAAAAATAATATAATCAAAAAATGTGATGAATTACATTCATAAATAAGAGAGGTAATTCAGTTTATAAAATTAAAAATTATAATTCATAAAATTTTTAAAAGATGTGATAATTCTCACGTTTGTAATATATATTAATGAATTTTATCATATTTACCATAAAAAAATAATTTAATTTATTCTTATATTAATTTTTTCAATTTATTTTATTTTTTTTATTTTTAATAACCAAACAGGACCTAAACCTTTCCTCTTGGCTTCAAGAACATTGTTTTCTAATTCAATGAAAGCCATAGATAACATTCAAAGCATTCAAAGTCGGTTTCACCTGGCTTTTGATGTTGCTGACTATATTAGGAAATTGCTCATGCAAGATCGGGATGTTTTTCAATGGTCACTTGCACGGATTGGCTTGCATGTAATTTCTCTATACTTGATAACCAACAACATCTTGTTACGAAACCATCCCTAAATATTTATCCTTTATGAGTTATGACCTTAGATTCAATTCTAGGAACTCGAGTTAATTACCCTCTTGTTTCTTTTTCAACCTTTAGGCTTTTGCCACAAAACAAAAAAAAATGATCAAAAGTGGCATTTCATGTGTAGCCGTAATTATCCTTTTATCAATTTCCAGGCGTGGTTTATTGGGTTTCACCGAAAAAAAAAACAGATAAAATAAAAATGGAATAAAATTAAAATAAAAAAATCAGGCATGGCCAAGTTCCCAGCTGGATATAAATAAAATCCCCCCCCCAAAAAAAACCGAAAAAAAAATACCAACTTATGCTACTATCAAGGGCCAACTACAAATAAGAATCAAACCAAACTACATTTTAAAAAAAAAAAATTTGTGTACATATATAAAATATAATTTTTCCTCCTCTTCCTTTTATCCTTTTGCAAAGATATTTCCTTGGTAAAAAGACTGCGCGCACCCCTCACCATTATCACACGGTAAATTAATTTTTTATTTGGGATCATCTCACCATTATACAACAAAAAAATTAATTACAATTAAATTAAATAATAATTGATAAAACGGGCATTATAAATACAGCAGACACAGCGTATTCAAAAGTACCATTTTGGCCTGGTTTCCTCTTCCTTTTCTGTTAATTCTCGATACTGATACCACTCTGATCCAAATTTGCCAACTGGTAAAGGTGTTCTCACAAAAATCTCAACAGGCTTCGGTACATGAACTGCCAAATTCAATTCCCCAGATGTTGGTTCTGAGATTCTGTGTGACCTACCAACTGGTTCAACAGTAAACCATCCCAGACCTGATATTGCTATATCACAAGCTGGCCTGCTCCCAAAGAATAATAGAAATTTTAGAAATTTTACATTTTTATATCTATTTATTCACACACACACACACACACACACCAGCAATTTTGGCTGAGCTAAATGAGATTCTACTGCCCAAATATACTCCGGTTGGTTAGAACATGCGAAATAAGTTGCCTTTCTACTGCGCAAAAGTGGGCCGGGGGGGGGGGAGTCTATTATATCTTTGACATTATATATTTGGAAAAATACAATTGGTCCCTGTACTTCAAATGTGTTTTGTTTATAATTCCTATAATTTTATTTTGTAGTTCCCACCCTTTTAGTTTGATTCATTTGTAACGTTACTCCCTACAATTTTAAAAATGTACATAAAGACCATGAACAGGCATCGACAAAATTAATTTTGATAACATGTATTTAAGTGTTAACTCTTTTGCTGACATGTACTTAAGCTCGCCTTCGTCTTTCACATTCTGTTTAAGCCAAACATAAAAGAAAGCTTTTTTCCCCATTTACCTTCTATTTTTAACCATACCTGGCCAATTTATTTCCATGTCATGAGTATATTTTTAACATGTAAACAAATAGATTAGCAAGGTTACAACAAAATCAACTCCGTCAGTGCTGACTCATGGCCTTCATGTGTATTTTTAAAATTATAGAGACTGTTGTAAATTGATCAAAATAAAGAAACTGGAAACAACAAAATTAAGCTACAAGCACTAAACACAAACATAATCAAAATACGGGGACCTGTTGTTGTATTTTCCCTATATCTTTTTTATCACACATTTTTATTCAAGGGCATGAAAGGCATATTTCTTATCTACAAAATTACTTTCTTATTTTATTTTTTTTTAAAGATTCTACTCTCTTGCCCATTCTATTTTACAAACCAAACAGCCTAACTTGGTGAGTAAGTGATAGGGTGATACCTTTCCACATCTTCAAAATTTATTTGCAAATTACGTTCTGATTCAAGTCCTCCCCAGTTCTCGGCCTTTACTCCCCCGGTTGGTGGGGTCAGCAGATTTCCAACTTCTTTCTAAGAAGGTAAAGCAAAACCCTCATAAAATTTGGGTTGGAACTTCAGAACTATCATCAAAATGTGAAAGCAGCACAAAACCAAAATTTCATGTTCACAAGGGGAAAAGAAATCTTGCACGTAATAGCAGCACAAAAAAGTTGTAACACAGCAAAGCCGAATAGCATGCAGCAAAGCATGAGGATATTTGTGAATCTATAGATTTTCATGCAGCTCTGCATTAACATAACCAGATAGAAATTCCACCATAAGCAACAATGTGGCGAAAATAATGTTTAATAACATGCAATCGCTACCTCACATTTAATACCAAAAAGAACCTTCAACATTGTAACTACGATAACAAGTATCAAGTAGTATGCATATGCATCTTTTATTCAGGAACTATGTTCTAACTAAATTGTTATTTGAAAAGAAAACTGAAGAAGCTTGATTTATCCATCGATTGCTAGAACTGTAAACATAGGCTCAACTTGACTACTCACATTTTGCAATTTCAAGAAAAGTATAACCAAAAAAAATATTTGGTAAACTAGACCAGAAGGGCAGATTTAAGCAACAATTACTTTTCAACAAGTACATGTGACAATACCTGGTAAAAATCATCTGCATTCTCTGAGGGTACAATATGAATCTGTAGGCCCTTGGGCCCATAAAATGTCAAACGTGTTTCTGGCAGAACCTGAAAATAACAAGACGGAGGAAATTAACAAGAAAAAACCCAGTAAATCATTAATAAGATTCCCTATGACACCCCAAAACAAATAGAAGTGCATAGTAAAAAACCTTCAAGACATCAATTCTGACCAGCCCTCCCCAAAATATTGAGAATCCATTTAAGCCATTCGATTTGGAATGATCTGCTGCTACGTTATCTTCAAATACCTGAGTATTCTGGCAATAACAATGAGGAGCAAAGTTGGCAATGGAAAATGCTATTGACATAATGTCTATGTCTTGAACAATTGTGACACAAACATACTGATACAGGGAAAGATAGACCCCTCAATCGACTTTGAGGAGCAAGACAGGAAAGATCTTCAGAATGAACAACTGCAGTTTGCCTATGGTGGAGATGAACTCCTGGAGTGTCATATAGGTTCTGCATGCATTGAAAAATTAAAATATTAAACAATCATGTAACATACAAAATACAAAATTAAAATGAATGGCGTACCCCCTCTCCCAGAAAGGCA